CGGGACAGGGAGGCAACGATTCAATAGCTGTGAATTTATATTTAGTTAGATATAAAAGTTACGGTACTATAAGTTTACAGTCGGCGGCCCCCTTAACCCTCAACTGGGGGTCGACCACAACGTCCGGCCTCTCAATCGCTCCCATACGACAACTGCCCGCCGGATGATTACCGGATGACGAATAATATCTTATATAACACATCAATCCGTCCACACATTCATACAAATACTGTTTGTCCGGACAGTCGGGACACCCGATGGATGAAAACGGCGGCAAGCGCTGTATATAATTGGCCAGTTGTGTGCGCTCAAGCATGTAAAACATGGTGATAACAGCATCCAAAATGTTTACATTATCCATCGGATGCGATAACCAGTTAGGGTCGAGCAATGGGGGTAATAAGGGGTCCGCCGACTGTAAACTTATAGTACCGTAACTTTTATATCTAACTAAATATAAATTCACAGCTATTGAATCGTTGCCTCCCTGTCCCGACTGGATCATTACATTTGGCCATTCATTGTCTCGATTCGCACGCGTGTTGTAGTAGAGTATTCGACTAATTAACGAGGTTAATGAACCTTGGTGTTTGTAATACAGCTGGCTCATTTGGTCGACGCTAATTTGTGGCGATTCGTTAAGTAAATACAAATATTGTGGCTTTAATTTTGGGTTTTGTTTCACTGCCATATGATTTTGATAGTGCTTTCCCACCGGTAAGTCTAAGACCACCGGTATTTTTAGCATATTTAAGTGCTCTTTCGGACCCACGCCTGACAGCATCAATAAGTGTGGGCTACGTATAGCCCCTAAATTTGCATCAAAATAAACAATGTTTTATTACATTTGATTAATTAGTAATTAATAGTTATAAATACCGGCGGAAACAATGATTTCTCTGTTGGCGTAAACCGTATACGAGATGTCATTCACTATAAACTCGACGCCAATGGCTGTCAACCCATTGAACAGTATTTTAGTGACCAATGCTTTGCACACTATATGCAGGTTATCTGGATATGGGTTCGGGTCTACAAACACAGTACCGGTGCTCTCTCTTAAACCAGACGAGGCAATAAAAAATTGGTCGATATTAAATCCGAGCTGATTCGGGCCATTAATATCCGTCTCCTTAAATCCCAATTGATTTGCCGCCATATTTAACACGTTTATAATATTTGGTACATTTTTTGCCGACGATATCTGAATCGGACCGCGAGTTCCGTGATATCCGGGATTTGTTTGCACAACACTAGTGTTTGTATTGTTTTCCCACTCCCTGAACACCGGCAACACATCCCTATAACTCCAACCGACGGCGCCGTATGTATTGGCCCACTCGTCATAACCGCGACGATTACCCCGATTGAAACCCATACCGTTATGCGCTGAACTTCCACCAAGTGTTCTACCGGTATGTTCGGGCAATCCATTACTGGCGTATTGTCCGCCATAATTAGGCCTGGGTACACTGTTATAATTCCACTCGTTAATATTGTTATCGAATTGGCCCTGGTACATTCCCGGCATATCATTATATATAGCATTTTGAGGCCCTCCCGCCTCCAACAACAACACTCTTACTGTGTGACCGGCACTGAGTTTGTTGGCCACAACCGCACCGGCAGTTCCGGCGCCGACAACAATGAAATCATACGATGAGTCCCATTGAGTTCGGGCACAAGTGTTGTCGTGAATGAGCTGTCGTTGGGCTGTAATCCACGCGACGGCCAGTAATTTGTAGGCAAACGGAGTTATATTAACCATAATTTATGTTTTATTAAAATAATTAAACTAACAAATTACAATGTTTTAATTTAATCTAATTAATTTATTCAGTGACAATATAATATCTTTGTTAACAATAAAATTAATAATTTGAATTTATTTCCATTTTGTCAACACGGCAATTGCTTAACGCCACAAATTTTTTTATATACCATAAGTTCGATATATCATAAAGTTCATTGATCTTTTGCATAAGTATAATCGATATATCTGTATAAATCAAATTAAATTTTTAATTTATGAAAGTACTGTATACGTATTTATACAGAACTATTATGGCAATACACGATTTTTTAAGTATACAGTCATTGTAGCAATGATTTTATATAGGATTGCATAAGTATAGCAAAGATTTTTTAATAACAGCGTTAATATATTGTACAGTATATATTAGGTCATTTGACAATCATCAGGCCTAACTGCCTTCTAGTGTAGATAGAATTATGAAAATGGTATCATAATTTAAGTTAACATTTATAACCTCTAGAAACCAAGTTTCATAAAATTCGCATCAATAGTTATGGCACAAAAATACTTTATCTGACACCCGCCAAAATAATGTATTCCTATGGGAGAGTAGCTATTTCGGCATTTATTGACGTGTGATTTTAGACTAAAATTGATCATTGTTAAACAATAATAGAGATAATACAAAACCTTTACTCTTCTGAAATCTCCCATATTTAATGAATTTAATGATATGCTATTCAATGGCCAACATTGACCGATACCCCAGCTGTGACCAAATCTTTATCGGTAGTCAACCCGATTGGCGGCCTGTGTTCGGTCGGTTCGCATTTAATTTCCATTATAGTAAATGTCATGAAATCTTCTTAAAACTATTGTCGGATAACTAATTGTGAATCTCAATAACCAAATAATCACTTTAAACATGTATTTTGTAAAAATATTTTAACTTTAAAAATGTAATAATTTTTCACCAAATAATTTTGTACAAATTTGTAAAAATATATCCGACTGACACATTTTAAAAATTTCCAGTATAAAGCCTAATCAACCAATCTTAATGAAACTTGGTTTCTGGTGCCTAAGAATGTTAACTTAAATTATGATACCATTTTCATAATTTTATCTACACTAGAAGGCAGTTAGGCCTGAACATTTCCAAATGACCCAATATATTATGTATTACTACATATGACCTATGAAAAGTTATAACCGGCTTAACTTGAATTGAGTGTAGCACCTTGACCAATTAAGCAATCGACAAACCGACTTCGGGAACATACTACCAGATAATTGACGATCAAAAAATCTATTGAAAATTTTTGTAAAATGTGCCTGGGTATATGAGTAATTTTATGTCAAAGCTAACTACATTTCCATATTACGTATTGTGGAAAATTGTGAATTTGTCACGCCTTATTACCAATATTTTCCACAATACGTCATTTATGAAAAATTTGCCGAGACAAGTATAAAATTATTTTTAACCCCGAACATTTTCATGTATATAACGTTTATATTAAATAAAAATTTTTGAAAAAATTTTGAATTTAACATTACGCTCTATGGAAATGTAGTTAACTTTGACATAAAATTACTCATATACCCAGGCACATTTTACAAAAATTTTCAATAGATTTTTTGATCGTCAATTATCTGGTAGTATGTTCCCGAAGTCGGTTTGTCGATTGCTTAATTGGTCTAGGTGCTACACTCAATTCAAGTTAAGCCGGTTATAACTTTTCATAGGTCATATTATGTAGTTCAATGCCAGCTGTATAAATTGTAATTTAAAACATTTAATTTAATTTAAAAATTGCGTCAATTTTATAATTTCATTAAATTTTAAATCATTAATTTTAAATTATTTTATAAATTGAATCATGTTTGTAATTGTAATTGTTTGCACTTGTGGATATATAGAGTGAGTGAGTGATGAGAGAGAGAGAGAGAGAGAGAGAGAGAGAGAGAGAGAACGCAAGGGCACTCTGACCCAAATGCCAATAAATTATAAAACACTACTCTATTAATATTTACGTAAATCCTAATTATGATCTAAATTATAACCAGACAAAAATTACCACTTTACATATTTCATATAAATAATAAAACACCCATACCATACTACTTCGCCCATGTTAATTTTCGACTGTGTCGCAGCATCTTCTAGGTATCCAAGGTAACGGTCGCGTAGTTTCTTAGTATCGGCCAGTTTAGCGTTTATAATCGGGGTGTATTTCAACATTTTGTCATCGGGCAATGTGCAAAATAAGTTAAGTTTCTCGTAGAATTGAATCGTGGGACTTTCTAGAATAACTTCCCGGACTTTAGGTTTGAGGTAACCTACCCATTTCAAGCCGGTTACTATATCCCAGAAACTGCAATATAAGCATTTTACATATAACTATTAATTTATTGTAATATTATTTATTCTAGCATTAATACTATTTTACAGGATTCGCCGATGTCCCCACGCTCCCTATTCATCACATTATGCATTAACCTATTTTTACTTCAACTAACCAAACATTATATGTCTTAACATTAAACACTTTGAGGGGGCGTTGATAGAACAATTATACATCATAAGATGCTCATCATTAAATATCATTATTACTGTACTATATTGGCTATTAAGTCCTTGCACATTATAGATAGGTTGTTTTAAATTATAATAAAAATTACTTATAAGTTATAAGGAAACGATAACTTTTGAAGTTGTATAAATTAAAATTAAATCACATATACGTGTTGATTAGGCCAAATAAAAAATATATATTCAATATTTTGGGCTGATAGCCAGAAATCGCCGAGTTATGGCCATTTTTGTGATCGCGTGTATACGGCGTATAGCATTGAAAAACGGTGTTTCAAACAGTGCTTAGGCAAATCACCAGCACTGCATTGCTATATGTTGTATAGGAGAAATCACAAAAATGGCAATATTTCGGCCGTTTATCCATAGATATTTTTATTGAATTATTTTATTTGGTTAAAACTACACAATAAATGGTCTTATATTAAAATCTAGTGACCTAAAAAAATAACCATTGCTCGTTAGAGTTAGAATAAATATTTATCAAATATAGATTTGTCACAATGTCAGCAGACTACTGTATATGGTCTTGGTCAAGTATTTTAAGATCTAGTCTTTTAGTTTATGATAATTTACATATAAATTAAAAGTTAATCCAGCGTTTGATTTTAAAAGTGTTATTTACAGGACTTGTCAAATATAGCCTTTGCCTACATGCATCCATAGACACTACATTAGGTCATTACAATAGTGTGGCTCTACAGTGGCTCTAGCGGGTATTCATGGTTATTTAAAATAAATTTATTTAATTTCTAATATTCTAATTAAAATTCTAATAATTAATATTGTATAACACATTTGAACATAAAAACACTTTACATGTATATTTAAAGAAATACAATTAATACTCACAGTTTACCCGTGCTATTAGCATGGCCAATCTCATTGCATTTCTCTTTAATGATTTCCAACTTTTCCGGTGCTTCGACTCCATTGCCATATCTCTCATACTTTGTGGATATGATATCAATGGCCGCCTCTTCCTCTTCCTGACCACAATATATCACACCTAAGAGTCATTTGGATTAAGAGTTAATTTGAGATATTAATACACATTATTATATCACTCAATAGTCATCTCTCTCTCTCTCTCTCTCTCTCTCTCTCTCTCTCTCTCATAAAATTACTATTTATACATAAATATATGATATAAATTAGGCGTTAAACACCTGGACTTTTAAATTGACTAATGTTAAAAATGGTGGCCCTGCCATTGCCAAACATTTATAAACAATTTACAGATAATACAGATTAATAATTAATAATAATTAATAAATAGAAATACTTAATTATATTATTATTTGAAAATATATTTACATACCAATTATAGACAAGAAAATAAAGAGCTTCATCATTTATAATTGAATTATTATAGATATGACAAAAACTAATTAACTTTAAAACTGTTATTAGACGTAAGAGCACTAACTATTATATGTATTTTAATGCCAGTTATATAAAGTGTAATATAAAACATTTTGTTTACTTTAATTAAAATTTTAATTAAAAAAGTAATTTAATTTCAAATTATTGATCACTCAAATAAACCATAAGATGTCACTCAAATAATGTAATAAATGTTATATAAAGTGTAATATAAAACATTTTGTTTACTTTAATTAAAATTTTAATTAAAAAAGTAATTTAATTTCAAATTATTGATCACTCAAATAAACCATAAGATGTCACTCAAATAATGTAATAAAGCGGTCAATTTATTTTACACTTGCGGTTTCTTGAATAACCTATAAGAGATAACCCTATTCTTTAATTTCAATACATGATACTATATATATAAATCATGAAGTATTAATATTTTTAACTCATATATTGTTAGTAATGCCTATGATAGATTAATTAAGAATTTCAATTTTAATTGCAATTAATGTAACAGTGTAAAACAACAATTAAGCCTAATTAAACATAGTATGATATCCGTTGGTAATAATATTAACGAATACGTTTACCACAAATAAATTTTAAAAACATAAATGCAAAAATATCAAAATGCAAAAATAAAATAAACTTTTTATTACAAATTACTGCATGTTAATCAGTAGATAAACTGTTAATATACAAAATAATTAGTAATTTGCATAAAATCTGATTAAAGCGCTGAGTCCAAATACTTTGTGAGTAATTTAGCCATCAACACGACAAACGATTTATATGTTCCATCCGGGTAGGACTCTTTCATCTCGCACTTTGTGTCCACCTTTACTCCCAACACGTGTTCAGTTCGGTTCAATACTGCCGGATAGACGTCAATACGTTTGTGTGAGAACTCCCTAAACCCATCTAGGTCATTGTGCATATCAATCACTTTAGCCCAGAAGTCACGGCCAATGCTGTAATTGTATTGATTGGTTTAAGGATATTATTAAAAATTTTTATTTGTTATTATAGAATGTACCTTATTTTACATGTTTTACATTCAGAACATTTACATACAGACCATGTATTTTACAATCACCTTTATTATCATTGTGTATAGATGGGCATAATTTGAGCATTTTATAG